GCATCATACGCCCAGGCTCACTAACTAAGACCTACCCGACTACCTCCATGAAGCTCAACATCGGCGCCTACGCCGAGCTCGCCCCCTTATTTGACGAGACTTCCGGCGCGACGAAGATCGGCGACCCCTCACTCGAGGAGAGCTTCACGACCGCCACGCCCCTCTCAGAGATCGATGTGGCCTCGCTGCTCTTTCTCCACTCTTGTGCGGCCGTGCTGGCGCTGCTCCTCGCGGCGTTCCTTGAGCCGCTGCTGCGTGGGCAGGTCAAGAGGAAGAGCGTGGAGCGCAGCAGCCACGCAGCGATCTCCGTACCCTTGCTCTCCAGCACGCGTGCTCTCCGAGTTGGCATTGTGATCCTCTTCTTCCTGCAGGACGTATGCGGCACCCCAGCGGCACCGCCCGTCAACGTCAGCAGCCCGTGCTCGCTCACGGACGGCGGCTCGTGCGCCACGTCGCCAAACTACCCGAACAGCTACGGCAGGAACGAGGCGTGCACCATCAGCGGCGTGCCGCAGGTCGGGCTGGAGACGGTCGTCTTTGATGTGGAGGGAGACTCCTCCTCTTACTACGACTACGACGGCAATGGCGACCCCACGGACGACTGCCCCGACTATCTCACCGTCAACGGCAAGAAGTACTGCGGCACGTCGGGGCCGAGCGGCGCGGTGGCGGAGGACGGCGTGATCGAGTGGCGATCGGATGGCAGCGTAGTCGAGTCGGGCTGGAAGGCGCGCCCCTGGTCCCTCTCGCTCCCCTTCCGTCTCCTCTCTGATGCCCTCCTCCCTCTGCCGTCAGATCTGCTGGGCGACACGCCCGCCTTCACCGCCATCAGCGCCGCCTCTACCGCCTTCACCGCCATCACCGCCATCACCGCCATCAGCGCCATCATCACCCCCACCGCCGCCGCTTTCACCGCCTCCACCGCCATCACCGCCAACACCGCCCCCGCTGCCGCCGCTGCCGCCGCTCTCCCCCGGCTATGTCGCCGCGGCGAGCGAGGACCAGCTCCGCAACCTGATCGAGGAGGCTACTATTACTGCTGCCGACGTCTCCATCTACCTGCCGCCCGGTGCAGAGTTCAAGCTGAGCAGCCAGATCAGCTGCACCTCCACCATCAAAGTGACCGTCGCGAGCAGCGGCGAGGGCGCGACGCTCGACGGCAAGCGAGAGACCAGGCTCTTTTACCTCTCGGGCGGCTGCAGCCTCACCCTGCGGGGGCTGACCCTCGTCAACGGGAGGGCGGGTAGCGGCGGCGTTGTGTACGCGATTGGCGCAGGCGACGTCGAGATCATCGAGTCGGTCGTGAGGGATTGCAGTGCTTACAATGTGCGCCGCGTAGAGCTAGCCGCCCTGCAGCGCCGCACGGAAGCGGGGCGAGAGATGGAGAGGGGCCACGGCTGCCTCACCCCGCTCTCTCCTCGTAACCGCAGTGGGGCGGCGTCGTCTACGCGTTACGCAGCGGTGCGGTCTCGATAACCGGCTCGACCGTGTCGGGCTGCTCGGCTCGCAATGTGCGCCGCGTAGAGCTGGCCGCCGGCCCTGCAGCGCCGCACGGCAGCGGGGCGAGAGGTAGAGAGGGCCACGGCTGCCTCACCCCGCTCTCTCCTCGCAACCGCAGCTCGGCGGCGTCGTCCACGCGTATGAGAACAGCGGTGCGGTCTCGATAACCGGCTCGAACGTGTCGAGCTGCTCTGCTACCTATGTGCGCCGCGTAGAGCTGGCCGCCGGCCCTGCAGCACCGCACGGCAGCGGGGCGAGAGGTAGAGAGGGCCACGGCTGCCTCACCCCGCTCTCTCCTCGCAACCGCAGGCCGGCGGCGTCGTCTACGCGAATGCGAACAGCGGTGCGGTCTCGATAACCGGCTCGAACGTGTCGAGCTGCTCTGCTGGCTATGTGCGCCGCGTAGACCTAGCCGCACTCCAGCAGCGCCGCACGGCAGCGGGGCGAGAGATGGAGAGGGCCGCGGCTGCCTCACCCCGCTCTCTCCTCGCAACCGCAGGACGGCGGCGTCGTCTACGCGTATGAGAACAGCGGTGCGGTCTCGATAACCAGCTCGAACGTGTCGAGCTGCTCTGCTGGCTATGTGCGCCGCGTAGACCTAGCCGCACTCCAGCAGCGCCGCACGGCAGCGGGGCGAGAGATGGAGAGGGCCGCGGCTGCCTCACCCCGCTCTCTCCTCGCAACCGCAGCACGGCGGCGTCGTCCACGCGTTTCGCAGCGGTGCGGTCTCGATAACCAGCTCGACCGTCGCCGGCTCCTCGGCTGGCTATGTGCGCCGCGTAGAGCTAGCCACCCTGCAGCGCCGCACGGCAGCGGGGCGAGATATGGAGAGGGCCACGGCCGCCTCACCCCGCTCTCTCCTCGCAACCGCAGTACGGCGGCGTCGTCTACTCGCGGGAGCACAGCGGTGCGGTCTCGATAACCAGCTCGAACGTGACCGACTGCTCTGCTCGAGTGCGCCGCGTAGAGCTAGCCACCCTGCAGCGCCGCACGGCAGCGGGGCGAGAGATGGAGAGGGCCACGGCAGCCTCACCCCGCTCTCTCCTCGCAACCGCAGGAGGGCGGAGCTACATACACGTGGAACAGCGACCTCAACGTGACCGACTCCACCATCTCCGGCTGCAATGCCACGCGAGGCGGCGCAGTGTACGTGCACTCGGGCTCAGCCAGCTTGGCCCGCTCAACCATCTCCAGCTGCATCGCCACAGAGTCTGGCGGCGGCCTCTACTCGGCGGGAGGGCGCACCTCCCTTAGTGATGGCACCCTCATCAGCGGCTGCTTGGCCCAAGAGGGCCGCTCCGTCTTCCTTCTAGCTGGCGAGGTCTCCTACACCCTCCCCGCCCCCGCCGGCCGCTGGCTGCCAAACGCGCGCTGCGAGGTGTACCGCGGGGCATGCTCATACCCTTCTTATCAGGCCAAGCAGAAGGCGTGCCTCGAGCACCGCGAAGATTGCGCGCTCACGGAGAGCCTTGCCATCGATTCGATGGGGACGCTCATCGAGATCTCGTCGGACGAGAAGGAGGCGGCTTGCCGCAGGCAAGACACGGACAAGGAGGAGGCTTGCCTCGAGCTCGTCGAAGACTGGTGGTACTGCCAGGCCCCGACCTTCGTGCAGCCGTGCAACTGGAACAACGAGACCGGAGGTGACGCCTCCCTCCTCGGCGAGAACCTCTACCAGCTGCCGCTGCTGCCCGTCGATGGGGACTTCCCCTTCGCCTGCGCCGCCGGCCTCCTCGGCTCAGGCGACCCAGAGGAGCAGTCGAGCAGCAGCTGCGCCGGCCGCTGCCCCGCAGGCTCCCAATGCCCCACAGAGGCGACCTATGAGGCGCTGCCCTGCGATGCTGGCCACGTCTGCCCGGAGGGGACGAGCGTGCCCCTTCCCTGCCCCGCCGGATCGTACTCGAACGCCACCGACCTCGCCGCCGCGAGCGAGTGCACCGACGCCTCGCCGGGCCACATTGCCACCACGGGCTCGACGCAGCAGACGGCGTGTGCCAAGGGCAGCTACGCCGCCACGGGCGGCCTCTCCGAGTGCGCGCAATGCGAGGGCGGGACGTACCAGAACGACACGGGCGCGTCGGGCTGCCTCGCGTGCGAGAAGGGCAGCTACTGCGAGCCGGGCGCGTCGAGGCCGCTGCCGTGCGAGGGCGGTTCCTACTCGAACAGGACGGATTTGTCGGCCGCCTCGCAGTGCACGCCCGCCGATCCGGGCCACATCGCCGCCCGGGGCTCCACCGAGCAGACGGCGTGCGACAAGGGCAGCTTCGCCAACGGCACGCGCAACGAGGTCTGCGAGCTGTGCGCCGAGGGCTCCTACCAGGGCGCGACCGGCGCGAGCGAGTGCACCGACGCCTCGCCGGGCCACTTCGCCACCACCGGCTCCACGCAGCAGACGGCGTGTCGCGAGGGCAGCTACGCCGCCACGGGCGGCCTCTCCGAGTGCGCCAGCTGCGGCGGAGGGACGTACCAGAACGACACGGGCGCGACGAGATGCCGCGCGTGCGAGCAGGGCAGCTACTGCGAGCCGGGCGCGTCGGCGCCGCTGCCGTGCGAGAAGGGCAGCTACACGAGCGCAACCAACCTCAGCGACGCGGGCGAGTGCACGGCCTGCCCCGCCGGCAGCGCTTGCTCCACGGGCAGCATCGAGCCGACGCCGTGCTCGCCTGGCACCTTCGCCGCGAAAGAGGGGCAGTCCAAGTGCGAGCCTTGCCTTGCCGGCACCTCGTCGAGTCAAGGCAGCGTCGCGTGCGACGAGTGCGAGGCTGGCCGTTACGCCGCCAACGCCGGCCAAGGCCTGTGCGTCCCATGTCCTCACCCCCTCAGCTCGGTCAGCGGCAGCACCACCTGCTCGTTTTGCATGGACGACTACTACTTGCGGAACGCGACTGCCGACCCGGACGATATGTTCAAATCCCCGACCGAGTACTGCAAGTCCTGCCCGCCGAACGCCGACTGCCCAGTCAACACGACTCTCGAGTCCCTCGGTATCCCGGCCGGCTTCTGGCGCGCCAGCCCCTTTACCGCCGTGCTGGCAGAGTGCGGCGGCTTTGGCGGCGATGGCGAGGCCGGCGAGAAGCGATGCGCCGGCAGCGAGGCAGAGGCCTCTCGTCGCTGGAGGATGGAGGTGAGCTCTTCGGACGAGTACTGCGCTTCGGGCTTCAAAGGCCCCGAGTGCCAGCTCTGCGCCGCAGAGAACCAGTACCTCGTCGATGGCGTCAACTGCAAGGAGTGCGCGGCGCGCGGCGCGGCGGCGGGCCGCATCGTAGGCCTCGTCCTCGGCCTCTGCGTCGCGTGCGGCTTGGCGGCGTGGGCCTACCACATGCCGTGGCGGAAGGAGCGCATCATCGGCTCTATCCTCCGCTTTGCAGACCGCTCCGTCAAGTACTACGTCGGGGTCGGAATGACAGCAAAGCTCAAGATCCTGTTTGGCTTCTATCAGATCTGCACCGTCCTCTCCTCCACCTACTCCGCGCGGCTGCCGGACAAGTACACGGGCTGGACGGACAACTTGGCCAACGTGATCTCCATCGACTGGTCTGGCTTTTTCCTGCCGGAGCAGTGCCTCGGCTACGCTCTGCGGCTCCTCGCCATCGCCCTCTCCCCCGTCGCGCTCATCGCCCTGCTCATGATCGCGGGGATAAGTCTGCGGCTCTACCGCTGGCGCGCCGCCCCGGCGCCGCGCGAGAGGCCGTGGTACGCGGAGGCGGCCCTCGGCCTCCTCGACCTCACGCCGGCCGGTTTGGTGCTCATCTTCTGCTTTGTGCCCTCCATCAGCGCCTCCATCTTCCGCTCCTGGTCGTGCCAGGCGCCCTCTCACAGCTGATGACTGCCGTTGCTCACAACACCACATCCCTCAGTCCTCGTAAGTTTCTGCTGATAGGCCTACACCATCTCTCCGCCCGGCGAGGAGCTAGAGCAGGTCTCCTACATGCGGCAGGACGCGAGCGTCGAGTGCGGCTCCGACGATCACGGACCCATCACCGCCCTCGCCACCGGCTTCATCGTCCTCTGGCCCGCCGGCTCGCTGGTCCTCTTCACGTCGCTCCTCGCCGCTTGCTACAAGCCGCTGCAGGCCAAGACGCCGAATGCTCTGACGCGGGCCACCGCCTTCCTGCACCGGGAGTACGAGAAGACCTGGTACTGGTGGGAGGCGGTCGAGCTGGCGCGCAAGCTCGTGCTGACTGGCTTCGTGCTTCTGATCCCGGAGGAGCGCGCCTTTGTTCGCCTCGTGGTGGCGACGCTCATCTGCTCATGCTACGCCGTCGCACTCGCCGTCGTGCGGCCGTACAAGCGGGTCGAGGACAACGTGCTCGCCGTCGCCACGAGCCTCGTGCTCCTCCTCCTCTTCCTCGGCACCAACTGGAGCACCATCTTCCTCGGCATCAAGGAGCGGTACCAGGGAGTAGATCCCGCCGATGTCCTCGGCTTCCGCAGCCTCAATGTGATTGTCGACTCGATGATCATCCTCGTTGCAGTCGTGCTCGCCTTCTTCCTCGTCGGCGCCATCATCGCCGCCCGTCGCGTCGCCAAGGTCCCCACGATCCGACTCGTCTCGACCAAGCAGCCCCCCGAGCTGAGCATCGCGAGGGGCCTCACGTGGCACCTCTTCAACAGCCACATCTGGTGAGTCACAGCTATGGAGGGAGAGAGGGAGCGAAAACAGCCGGCGTGATCCCCGCCCCTCACCCAAACGAATAGGTCGACCGGTCAAGACGCCGTCAAGGTCATCAAGGGTGAGCTCGAGCAGCTGCTGCCGGACATCAAAGTCTTTCTCGACGCGCGCACATGCTCATCAGCGCTGCTTAAGCTACACACAGAGCCCCCCTGACGCACCGCGGTGTGCTCATAGGTAGATGATCTCAAGGATATCGGGGCGCTGGAGGAGTACATCCAGAGCTCGCAGGTCATCCTCTTCTTCCTCTCGCAGGGCTACTTCCGCTCCAAGGCTCGCCTCTTTCTCCCACCCCGCCCCTCTACCGCACCCTGGCCCCAAGAACTGCCGCCTCGCCCGCGCCACAGAACTGCCTCCGAGAGGTCCGCTCGTCGCTCGAGAAGGACAAGCCGCTCGTCCTCGTCCAAGAAGCGGACCCTGAAAAGGGCGGCGGGACGCTCCAGGCGCTGCGCGGCGAGTGCCCCGAGGACCTGCAGCCGGCCATCTTTGACAACGACTGGCCGCTCACGATTTGGTATCGCATCGATGAGTTTCAGCTCATCTCGCTCAAGATCATCGCCGAGGCGCCGCCGGCCACAGCCAGCTCCGTTCTCTCACTCTACCTCCCGGCCAACCCCACTTGAACCACCCTAGGCGGTGCTCCTCTGCTCGCCCAACTTTCTGGACAGGACCTCCCTTCCGCTCTGCGTGTCGGGTGAGCTCGAGAGCCAGTCGCTCGCCTTTTCCAAACCGTGCACGCTCTGGGCCTCGCCAGCCAACGCGGGGTCGCTGGCGCTGGCCGATGAGATCGCCGCCGCTTTTGCCCCAGATCGTGAGACCGCCGGTCTCACGATCTGCACCACCGATGATCGGCCGGCCAGCGCGACGCACTTGCTGCTCTACCTCAACGAGGACAGCTTCGTCAGCGACGAGCGGCTGGCCGAGCAGGTCAAGCAGGCGCGGGAGGACAGGCTGAAGATCGTCATGGCGCACGAGAACGACCCCGCGCTCGGCGGCTGCCAGTTCTCGAGGTTTTTCGAAGTCACGCCGCAGGAGCGAATGTCTCAACGTGGCGCCTGTCCCGCCACCCCTCCTCCCCCCCAACCCTCTCCCCCCCGAAACGCCGCAGGAGCTCATCGCCGGCGGACTCTACAAGGACCTGGCAAAATCCTGCTTCCCCGGCCACCACCGCAAGGCGCGCGCCCTCTCTCCCACAGCGAGCTCTCCCCCGCATCGAGCGTTTCGTGACGAGGGGCGGGTCCCTGCCCGCAGGTGTCGCTCGTCCTTCTGGCAAAGAGCCTAGGCGCGACCCCCGC